GGAGGAGGAGGAGGAGGAGGAGGAGGAGGAGGAGGAGGAGAAGAAGAAGAAGAAGACGACGACGAAGAAGTATTTATGTACACTATGCTCGACATTAATTCATAAAATGAAGAAAATAAAACACCTGACTGTGGGACGTTGCATGAAAAAGTAAAAGGAAGGCACGATCTTGACAAACCAAAAGGACACAACTCAGAATGAAAAATAAATAGTATTATTACTTGGATAGTTATCTCTCATGAGAGTCAATTTATCCACAGCACCAGGTTAAAATGTCCACCAAACAGGACGCAACAAATGGGGTAACGGTACAGGTTTAACGCACCTGTGCCTAATCAACACGATTAGGTTATTTAACAGACGTGACCTCTGAGTTTAACAAGATTACAGGTGTTTCAAGAGAATATCAAACAAACACAAAAAAAAAGAGGAGAGACAAGGAGAATAGATTATGTTTGATGGGAAAGGAGGAAAAAAGCATATTAGAGCACCCGCCAACCACTAACAAATTACGTCAATAAGTAGATGTAAAATGTAAGGCAGACAGAAGCAACAGAAAGACGTAATAATATAACTACATGTATACACCTTGCAAATAACATAAATCTTCATTTAAAAATATGAATCCAACCCAAAGCAAGACAAACGAAACAATGAAGAAAGTCTTACGTCTGGTGTAGCCGTACTCGTCCTCTTCCTCGCTGTCACTGAAGGATTCCTCCGCACCTTTCCCATCTCCCTGTTCGAAACTCTGAAACATATTATAGAGGGTCATTCATTTTAGATATATTAGCTTATAGTAATAAGATGCACTTTCTCAAAACTAGAACGGCCACAAACACCCCTTGAAAAAAGTCGGGACTGAGGGTAATATAATAGAAGGATCATCTACCTTCTCTGGTACTTCGAGGGAAGACAGTCCTCACAGATAGAGACAGACATATCTTTAAGTACAAGAGCAGGTAAACTCTAATGTCCAATTCAAAACGTAGGTGTTTCAAGCCTTCATTTGCACAATGTCGATCATTAAGGATGCAGACTGCTTCAACCCTGCCTTTCAAGGCCAACCCAGGCTAAGAGGGCTGCAGAAAGACGGAGATACTCTATAAAACAAACCCCAACACACACAAACGGGAATCGTACTTATGTCCTCTGGGTGCAACGATGAAGTGCCTTATCGTACACCCCAGATTTAGCAGTTCATAAAAATCACATGTACGAGTATGAACACATTGTACATTAGTAAAAACAAAACAAAAAGGAAGCATGTCGCAGGCAAAGATTCCTTTACGCCGTCACCTTTTCCAGCATCACACACCTTGTGTGCTTTGGTTGCTGTTGTTCATGCTGCTGCTGCTGCTACTACTGTTGTTGTTGTTTTTGTCGTTGTTGTTGTTGTTATAGTTTTGTTGTTGTTGTTACTGTTGTCGTCGTTGTTGTTATAGCTGTTGTTGTTGTTGTTGTTGTTGTTATAGCTGTTGCTGTTGTTGTTATTATTACTGTTGATGTTTCTGCTATTGGCGTCTAGCACCTTCCGAAACACCACCCTGATCGTGACAACGGTCGCCTATTAAGTTCTCCCCACACGGGACTCGAACTCACGCCAGACGGACACCGCAATAAAAGGAGGTGAAGGGCAAGTAAGTCAGATCCCACACGGACTCGAACCTCAGACCTCCACACATAACATATTTTAAGATTGCCACCAACCAGGTACAGTCGAAATTGTCTAAAAGACCATCAACTTTTGATAAGAAAAATGCTCGTCTTAGACAGATGATATTTTTTTTAAAAACCCACAAAAACCCCCAACAAAAACATCCGCAACAAAACAAAACAAAACAAAACAAACAAAAAACGCAAAGGGGCGAAATGGGAAGTAACCGTTTGCACACGTATTTGTTTTTATACAGGTAGCCGTTAGAGCAGGCTGGGCTATAATAAATATATCGGTCTGTGGTGTCAAATAAAACGAATAACAGAATCTCAAAACAAAACGAATCCCAAGTAATCCAAAAGAACTCGCGATCGAGAGCAGCTCCGCGAACCAGGAAGTCACAGAAAAGTAATCAAAGCCGTCCCAGAAACCTGGGGAGGGCGGTGCCCCCTCACCTAGAGCCTACCGTCTCCCCCCTCCCTCTCCTCCTTCCCTCCCTCTTTCTTCTCCCCTCCTCCCCTTCCTCTCACCCTCTCCTCCTCTTCCCTTCTCCCCTCCCTCTCCCTTACCTCCCTCCCTCCCTTTTTCTTCTCCCCTCCCTCTCCTCCTTCACTCCCTCTTTCTTCTCCCCTCCCTCTCCTCCTTCACTCCCCCTTTCTTCTCCCCTCCCTCTCACCCTGTCCCCCCCTTCCTCTCACCTCTCCTCCACTCCCACCCCCCTCTCTCCGCGCGGTGATCTCCACCGGGCTAAACCTCAGTCACACTTTATCAGGGCAAGATCTGACCGGGAAGGAGGTGCCTGGATGATATCGACCCATTTCCTCCGTTTCCCATGTCTCACTCTGTACCTCTCTCTCACCCCCTCCCCCTAGCCCCCCCTCCAAACCACAAATAGAGATTTCTCTGAAGCGTCCCTCTTTCCCTTTCTCTCTCTCTCTCTCTCTCTTCCTCCCTCCCTTCCTAAGTCTATTTGTTGTTTGCCTGCCTGCATGTCTGTTTATCTGCCTGCCTGCCTGCTTGTCTGTTTGTTTGTCTGCCTGCCTGTCT